CTATATCAATAAAGACGATCTGACCCTTCAATTTAACTATTCGTGTTTATTTCTTCCATAGTTTAGACGTACTTAAATTCTCTGCTAGCAAATAATCTTTGTTAACTTAACGACGAACAGTTTAAGCTTAACAGTGTTATTGGAAGGAGTACTTCTGGAAGTTAAAGCAATAGATTCAGGTTGCTTATTACTAGTGGAGTTAAAGCAGAAGGTATTTTTTTTCTATCTAGTGTTTCATCTGCTATTTTTTAAAGCCATTATTTGTTTGTACTTTTGATAAAAACTCTTTTAAGAATAAAATATTTGTTGTAAAAGTAACAATTAACTAACTATTGGAGTTGAAAAATATTAATAAAATTTTGAGCAAAGCATTTTTATTTTCTAAAAAATTTTTGGGTGAAGTAGAAAAGAGTTCTTTTTCTTGAAAAAGGTTTAAATAATCTTGCTGATCATTAATATAATTTTTGTGTAACATTAAAATCAGAAATGATTTACTTTCAATAATCAATCAATAATAAATAATTAATATTAAAGATTAAAATAGAAAATGATAAAATGATTCACTGGCATAACAAATACCACGATAAGTTAGAACCTTATACTTGACGGCATAAAATTTGGTAAAGGAATGTTTTGAATGCTTGTGTCACCTAAATTCATGAGAGGTTATTATTAGTTTTATTTGTCTTTGATATAAATAAAATGAAAACGTTATTTGCGCTAGTGGCGAAATATAGATCAATTTAATAAATTATAAAAAACGGAATTCAATACTAGAAAAAGAAAAGGATTTTTATTTATTGTATACAAAGGATTTTCAACTATTATTGTCTCAGCTGGCGCCCTATATAATAGGCCTCAAAGGAAAAAAAAACTATTCTAATATAATCTAAACTACTCTTAAAATTATCAATCAAACGTGGCTTATGCACGGAAAGTCAAATTTATCCTGATGGCAGAAATGATCATTTCGTCAGATGGGCCAGAACGATCAGAAAAGCCAGATCAGAAGATTGATTTGAACAACTAGTTTTTCCGAGTGAGTCGAATGTATCCATGGTTTGTACTTTTATGACGACTTTTAACTCATTTGATAAATAAATTAATTTATATAACAAATAAATTATCGATAAAAAAGATTTAAAGTATGAAATCCCAGTTATTTATAAACTTTATCGAAGTAGCTAAATTAATATACGAGGAATTAAGCTAAATAATAAAAAAAATTCTTTGTTGCTTAACCAAAGTCGTTGTCGCCTGATGACTTCACAAATATTATTAACATTTTTTCATGAAAATACATATAGTATTCATGCACGAAAAAAATAATTACTTCGATAATTTCAATTAATTTTAGGAAAAGATACAAATTAAATGGATTAAATGGAAGAAAATTATATAACTATACTTTTCAACATAAAAGATTCTTCATTGCTATTTTAGTCGTCTAAATAATACCTTAATAAAAGCATTCCTTCTATAGATGCGCGCCCACCCTCTTTAATGCAGTTTCTTGGTAATTTGTTCAAAAGGAATACATCACGTGACCTATTTGACATATTCCTATGAACGGCATGGACCAGCATTACAGTAATCTGAATTTCATAATTGAGCTGACATAATCTTAAATAATAATAACAGCGAAGATTTTTAGGGGTAATGAAAGGCCGAGATTATGATTCTTTGGCGTTGTTTAGATAAGGTATTTTTTTTTGATTATGCTGTAAACATAAGGTCATAAATTAACCCTCTGATATCACAAAGAAAAAACATTTTATTTGCTGCGCATTTTTGATTTTTGATATTAGGTATTATGTCCTGCAGATACCAGATATTGGAGTTATGGATATATTAAACATTTGCCGATATGCTTTCTCTATTTTCTCTTTTATGAAACTTTATACAACATGAGTTTTTATTTACATTTGATGGGATATTATATTAACAAATACACTTTAAAAATCAAAAAATTTATTATTGAATTGCCAATCTAGAAACGAAATGTCAAGAACTGTGAATACTTAAAATTTTAAATATATTGAGTTGCGTGTTTACTATCAAATCAGAAATTGTCAATGTAAACTATGAATATAAGATCGGACTCATTTACTGATTGGAAACTAGAAAATGTCTTGGGTTCTAAGGGTTCGCTGACAAAACTATAGCTTTATTGACAAAACCGTACTAAACCCATCAACAGTTAATACTATTTATTATAAAGTCTTAAATGGTTGAAATCGAAACCCTTTATTTCGACGGTTTGTTATCGCTAAAATGAATGAATTTTGCCAGGCAGCTGCAATAGTCACAAAAGCGTATTTGTAAATGAAAGTATTTTAGATGAAACACATGAGTTAAAATTTTGAATTATTGGAAAATGCTTAAAGAAGGTTAACATCTCCAACCAATCAAGTGATTAATCAAAATATCACCAGGATTAAGGTAAGCATTGTGTTACCTGGTCGAGAATAAATGTTACGGACCGACGTTATATCAAGGCTATTTAAGGTGTTGAATGGTTGCTATTGACACATAATGGTTTATATGTCTCATAACAGCGAATAAATGTTCAAGACTTAGAAAATACTGTATGGAAGAAATTTGACTTTGCCACTTGAAGATCTTTCTGATCCACTTGAAATTCTTAAGATACCTTCGAGAAATCCCTGAAGATCATAGACCTTGTAGATACATATATGAAAAGATCTGACGAAAGCCTAATTAAAACTCGTAAATTCGTGAATGATCATGAATTTTTACTTCAACAAAAATTCAAAAATTTGCAATCGAATATTTGATATTAGAAATTATTTAAATAGTTACGTTTATTTATCACTAATTTTAATTCATGTTAACCTTCTAACGTTAATTTTTTAAGAATCTCTTAATGCAGTCCTAGGGGTGCTTGAATGTATTTATATTTCGTTTGCAATTGCTCGTGATAGATTGCGAGATGCATTTTAGAATTGATCTTAAAAAGAAACAGCAGAATTAATATTAATTTTAATCTGGAAAAATTTAAGATCGGTGTAAGTTTATTATTAAAATTTTATTTTCAGTGCGGGCAGAAAGAAAAAAGCTAATAAACAAATTAATGAAAGTATGTTTATTTATTTTTTTATTTTTTAAAAAATTTTTATAAATCGTGAAGACTTAACTTAATCTTTGCATTGTTAAAAAACGAAAGCAATGGTGTTGTCATAATCACATGTGTAATTTGTTAGTTAAACAACTTTGTATTTATCAATGTTTTGTCGATCGAATCAAAAATAATTCCCAAAAAAAAAAAAAAAATTTTTTTTTTATTGTTTATAATTGAAATACCAGTTAATAAAAAAACTTGCAATAATGATACCAAATAAAGTAAAGCCACGAGTAGACATGATATAATCTCGAGTTATTTGTATAAATTAAGCGATCAATAACTGGATAAAAGGATTTATAGGAAATGATGATCTTTTTCATTTTTCACTTTTTACATTTTCCCTAAAAAAAATCGTTAAATTTTTTTTAAAAAATTAGTAAGTTCTAATATTCTAAACTGTCAAGGTTAATAATATATATATATTGATGAGATGATGGTTTATTGAACTAACCTTTGGATTTCTTCATGTATCAAATAGCTAACGAAACAATCAAACAAATCTTGGCAAGTCAAAAAAAAAAAATTTATTGAAAAAAGAAAATGACTTTAAATACACTTTCAGAAATGTTTATTAACTTCAGAAATTCAACAATCACACGCCTTTCACACCTTCCGCACCTTTCACATCTTTTTCACCTTCCTCACCTTCCCGAACTTCCCCACTTTTCTATCACCAAAGAAACGCAGTCACTAATAGCATTTGTATTATTGTGTGCAATGATTGCATTCATAGTTGCATTTACGCTTGACTTAATTCTTTCAAGTTTAATTAATATTAGTTGTAGGAAAAATAAATATGTCCTTCTTCCTGCAAAAATATCGGCTTCTATTTCTACAAAAAAATTGTCTAGTTGTCAGGGTCCTAAACCTTCGCAAAAGCCTGAAAATTTAGGTACGTAAAATGACTGTTAAAAAATAGGTGTGGGTTTTAATGAGGAATTGATTAATTGAAATTTTTTTTTTATATATAAATATTTCAAAAGACGATTTCAAAGGATAGCCGATTTCATTTACTTATATTGATTTGTAACTCCCTTTTTCTTTCCTGTCGTTAACTTGGTTATCCTTTTTAATTTTTATACTGGTTAATTCTGGTCGATTTTCTTGTTGATTAAATGGGATTCTTTTGCTTATTGCTCTAATAAAAAAAAAAATAATTATAATTATAAAATTCTTTTCAACAATAGGTGATTTATAATAATGTTTTTTGAACTATAATCACGTGCTTACGCCTCATTGCAGATCTAATAATTTAAGGTTTGTTTTCTTAATGATCGTTTTTGATGATTTTCCATCAACAACAATATATAATTTTTTATATTTATAATAGACATCTATAATACTGAGATCTCGTGATTCAGAATCTTGATCAGCTTGATCAGCTGATTAATTTGACATCATCAATATATAATCAATCATGTGACATATATCATTGGCGTAAATAAAACAAAAAAAAATTTCACGATAATTTTTTTCTCTCGTTTATCATACTTAATAAACTATAGACACCCATTAATTCCGGACTTTCCTTTCCGTATGTCTTCAAGGATAATGCAATTTATACTTTTTATCGTATTATTTAACATGTTGATAACGATAATAATGACGATTTTCTCATACATAATTCCATTAAACGAAAATATAAATCATCAGACAATTAAGAATGAATATTCCAAAGGAAAGAGCCTGGAGAGTAATCGAGAAAAAAATAAAAATTTTATTTATCAAGAGTCATGGTTTTTGAAATTAGAATGTTTACAATGTCGTGAAAGATTTGAAAGGTGGAATAGAAAATTCGTCGAAAATAATTACAGTGTGGTGGATGTCATAATTAAAGGAAAGGAGGGAGAAAAGAAGGAAGGGAATGAGGTAGAAAAAAAAACCGGTAAAGATTTTAATCTTTTATGGGTGAAGAAAGTTGACGTAGACATTTTGGAGATAAAGGAGGCGGAAAATCAATATTGTGAAAGAGAGAAGATGAAAGAATGGATGAGAGATAGAATGGAAGATAATGAATGGTTGAGAAAATGGATGGATGATGTAGTTGTTTAGCATGACATGAAAACTTCCTATGAAGGTGACTTTACTAATCAAATTTTCGATTTCATTTCAATTTTGGATTCAGTATTTTAATGAGTACAATCGAGACACATTGTGGTTAGCTAAGGTATTATATATATTCATTTTTTTCCTTTTTTAGATTTTTTTTCGTTTTAATTCTGTGCATATTAATGTAATTATATTTTTTTATTTTACTGCGGACATTGTAAGCTTGAAAATCAATAAAAATGCGAAAAAATGACACCTGTTTTCGTTTAATAAAAATAAATTTTCTAAAGATAATTAAATTTGATTACCATCTTTAGATTAAAAAGAGTCATGATTTTTGAATAAACAATATTACATAATAAAATGTCATTTTTGCTTCGTAAGATCACATGACAATCACTCATACCCAAACAAGAATCCCATAATCTACTAAGATCACTTATAATCCTTGCACAAATATAGTTAATTTCTTCAAGAATCAAGTCAACTTGAGGATTTTTGCCTAGTCATTATCAAATTAGTGATGATTGACTATACTATCCAAGTTCAGAATATAATTATTTTTGCTGCATCCACACCAACAAAAAGAACTTTTTCTTCGGAAAAGGATTCATTTATGAATTATTTGGTACTAAATGTGGTGGACAATTAATTGATTTAATAACAAAGAAAAGCGGAAATTTAGAAGAGAAAGCGGGAGGGGAATTTGATTTTTTTGATTTCGAAAAAAAAGCGGGAATTCTTTTTTTGATATTAATAATAAAAAAGAAATTCAAAACTATCGTAATATTGAATTCATAAAATTCACATAATACGCATCCTGGAAATTTTCAGCAATAAAAAATATAAATAATCAAATCCATCGTTACAAAAACTTCTTTCTTAGCCCTTATATATAAAAATGGGTCATGGATTAGCAAATGCCCCTTCGTCGAAAAAAAATTTTATACAAGTTAACTTGATAATCTAATTTTTTATACAAAATTTCTTTTTCAAAAAAAAGATCGACAATCTAAAATTAGATTGGAATAATATCCATTGATTTCTCAAAAAAGTAATATATGTTCCGGAGGGACATTTGCTAACTTACTAGTCATGACCCAAATGAAAATATCCCGTATATCATTGATCACAAAATGGAATTTTACCAAATTAGTCTTAAAATTCCGGAACGAAGTGGATGACACAAATGCCGCTCAAAATTTGAGTCGATACGTGATTGGTCTCTTTCATTACGCTTTCCTAGTTATAATTTATAATACATTTACGAATTATTCACGTGACGTTCAGTAAAAAAAAAACCTTATCTATAATTAGATCCTTAGATCGGCTGTCAAAATTATTTCTAGTATAATCACATCGTACAAAAATTACAAAATCCTTTTTATCATCACACATATATGAATGAAAAACAAATCTTTATATGATCATAATATAACAAAACCTTTAATTTTTTGATTACAAATAAGTCAAGCTCTGTTTGATTGTATCATCAATGACATCACGTGATAATACAGAGATTTGAACCTTGCTTGATATGGAAAGATTGCTCGGAAAATCAGGTTACGAGAATTTGATTTTTTTATTGCATTTCAGTTTTTGAGGATGTTAGATTAAATCTTAATTTTAGTCAAAAAGTTCACGGAACCTGATTTTTCTAGCAATCTTCCCAATACCGATGTTCGATAACCGACAATACGGTTAGACTTGTTTATAATCACCCTGTCAATAATTGCATCATATAAAACATAATCTCGCCTATAGTTATTATTAATTTATAACAAACTACCTCAATATGAACACAATGTAACAAACCCACATTTTTTGAAAAGGTGATTATAGAAAGTCTGTATGTACTAATAAAACGATGAATTTTGTTTCCCTACTATATATATATGCGAGAGTGTGTTCATTTTGAAGTTTGGATTTGCCACAAACTGCATATGCACTATTAGAAATATGATCCCCTTTCTTTTCACAAAGTTTCTTTTGAAAGATTTCACGATAAATTCTTTTTTTTTTTCGTTTTTAAAATAAACGTAAATAGGAAGAGTGAAATTTATTTTTTTAAAAAAAAATTTCAATATTTAACCGTCCGAAATAAAAGATTTCCACAATATCGAGACGTTTAAATATTGAAATCTATTCTGATTTATTAATACTCGATATAACGAAACTTTCGGTTAGGAAACTTGGATCGTCATATCAAACATTGGATAAATCAATATTTTAATTCGGTTTATAAAAATTTTTCTATAAAAACACACATTATTTATTAGAAAATCTTCCTATCAGTGAAGCGGGATAGGTGAGATAATTTCGATTGAAAAAAAGATATTTTTTTTATACCGATGATCTGTATATAAAGTATCGGCTTATCGCGAATAAACATATAAAACTGGTTTACAGCCAGCCAGACTTCGGTATTTGTAATATCGCGAATTTTTTAAATAAAATCGGTATATAGTAACAAAATTAATTATTGGTGATTTTGAAAGGTTCGTTATGACACATGGGTTTTTGGATGGGCGTATCAAAAGACCATGACATCAACCGTCATAAAACAAATTTTCTAACTTGATCGGTTGGCCTTTTGGGTTTTTTTCTTTTGTATCACCCAAATTGTAAGCCAATATTTTGGGTTTGTAAATCGAACTTTAGGTTGGTAATAGGTTGATATTTAGATCATACTTATTTTGTTTATTATTTAATTTCTAAACAAACAAGTAGATAAATAAATAACACGATTAAAAAGACGCGTAACCCGATAATTATTAATCCTTACAAATTTCATTTTTATCCATTGATTTATATTGTTTTGTGTATCCGTTTATTAATTTCGTTTCGAACTTTTAAATTTTATATAAAGTTCTGTCGTACATAATGATCTGACCAATCAAATCGATCCATCCTTTTTTGTAAATCATAGTCGATTTGGAGTTTCATTTGATTGGCCAGTTCGGTTTTGTACGACACAACTTCAAATTGCTCTAGCGAAATCAATGAACAAAGACATAATAAAATTTTTTTTTATATATAAAAATAGAGTACAATTTGAAGTCTTTCAAAACTCATGTTGTTGTGTGATACAAAAAAAACTACAAATCAAACCGATCAGGTTTGAAAAGGTCTCTATTACTTAAAAAGGTCTCTATTACTTAAGCAACTTCAAATGGTTTCCTAAATCATATTTATTCTTCGTAAGACCTATAAATCGGGCATGAATTAATAAAAATGAGTTCAAATACAACTTATTTAATATGTCAATTACCGTTTAACAGGTTTTTTGTGGAAAATACATTCTAAAATTGAACAAAGTAATTCCGCCCTGTGTTACGGATTCGATAATCAAGACTTAATACATTAATGATCTTTGAAAACATTCCATATATTTGTTACTTTAAATCCAATTTTTCTTATCTTTGATCATATAAAAAAGAGCCTTCTTTTTGTAAATCAAAGACATATGATACTTCCATATTAATTTGTACAAACATGGTATTTTGGATAAAGCGAAAATAATAAATAAAAACATTTGGATTGTCCCATGAAAATAAGGCTGGGCACAATTTGGGTATTTCCTTTGAAAAAAAAACTCCCACAAAATGTCAGAGATCTTTACATAATAGTTAAAAATTGAAATTTTCATAATAAAGTCACCGTGAATTAAAAACTCCCACAAAATTGTCTCAGAGATTGCTTTACATAATCCTTTAAAAAAAGATTGAAAGTTTCATAATAATGTCATCATAATGTTATTTACACAATTTTTTTTTCACACGTAAAGAAAGAAAAGGAAGAAAGATGATGGTATTGATATATTTTGAATTTCAACGGGTGCGAATTCTTGTATCGTTCTCCCAATAAAAAATTTGAAATCGGTTACCCGCGCCGTTTTGGAAACTTTTATTTAGATCTGGGAACTTTCATCTTATTTCCGAGTAAAGGTTTAATCAAATTTTAAATCTTATTTTTTGGTTCGTTTTAGGGATATTAAAATAACAATCATTACCGGATGAAAATATTCTTACAATGAAAGATTTGTATTAAATGTGACACTATGTCATGCCAAAAGTTACCCAAAAATTATGTGCATCAATCAGCCTTACATTGTATTATCCGGAAAAACTTCTTAATAAAAAAAAAAAAATTATTCCCCAAAAAAAAAAATAAAAAAAAATATCCCTCTTATAAAATGACATTCGTTTTTAATGGTCGTATACGACGAAAGATCCCCTTGTTGTTATTTTAAAAAAAAAGCAAAGTTTTTCTTTTTTTCACCCGCATGAGTAACTTTTCTTTTCCCTTCCCCCTTTACAAATTCTATTCGTTTATTTATTTTTTTTTTTTTGATATAAACGAATATTCGATTTTCTTTTTAACGAACGTGCATTATATTTTATATCATTGTTCTTCCAAAAAAAACATTTACTTAATTTTTTTTTTTAACGACACGCTCCCTAAATATTTTGACATTCTTTTATATTTTATACTTTCTTTTAAAAAATGAGTAAACCAAATAAGCAACTTGAGGGATTCATTTACGTGTTCGACTCAAAATGTGTCATGCATTCAAATGATATTAAAATCGCTCCTACTGCTCCGCCCCCTCCTAACCCAAATACATGCATTCAATTTGGAGAAAAGAATAGCGATGAAGATATCGTTTATAATTCAAAACAATTCAATCATGAAATAGAAACTTTATTAAATAATTCTAACAAATCACGTCTTGCAGAGAAAAATGTAAAAAAAGGCACGAACAAAATTCCACGAAGGCAAAATGCCTGGATTCTTTATCGTAGAGATAAAGCTGTTGAACCACAATTTCATAAAATGAAATCCTGCATCATTTCGAAAAAAATTACAAAAATGTGGGAAAAAGAGCCGAATAATGTTAAAGAAATTTATAAAGCGCTTTCTCGTTTAGCTGAAAAAAGACATATTGAAAAGCATGGTAAAAATTACCGATACAGGCCAAACAGAAAACCAAAAGAGGAGGATCAGATTGATAACTGTTCCGAAACGTCACGTACAAACTCACCTACAACTTCAAATTCAAGTGATTTCGAAGAAAAAGATCATCAGCATTTCGACCCAACGCAAAATAAATTTGAAGACAACATTCAAGACATAATTAATTTCCCAATAATCGATTATATCGAATTTGAAAATAAGACCGCACCACAACAAACGCAACAATTTAATATGTTGTCTTCTTATCCTGAAGTCTCTTTCAAGTATAATTCATCGTCGTTATATTCAGAATACATTTTACAAAATCCTATCGAAGATTTTTCAAATTACTTAAAACATTTATTAATGTAAAACTATAATCCGAGCAGATCATTAAGGTATTTATTCGGTGAAACTCATTTTTGACTTTTTTTCAAGAAACTTCACATTTTTAATTCTTCATGTTCTTTTATAGTGTATTCACTTCCATTTAAAAAGAGAGAAAAAAAGATTTTGGGCTTTTTCAGCAGTCATTTCCGTGAGCATTTCCGCAATAAGTACATTACTACATGTGGCGCCTTCATTTTTAAAATATAATAAATATAGTAACGCGACAAATTGCAGAGATGGTTGATGAGACGGCTATTGTGAAGGCTTTTTTATCTTACCCTTTAGCTTCCCGCTTTCCATATGAAATGAAAATAATACTTTATGCAAATACCTTAAGTCACGAGATATCGTGTTACGTTGTCACTTTTTTTTTATAATAGTCAAATTTTGTATTTTATGCGTTTACGTAATTATGAATTTATAAATAAATTATTTAAGATTATAAATATGACAAATTAATATATGGAGAAAAATCTAAATGGTGATTTCGCATCTCAATTGAGACAAATCATTTGACTAATATGTCACTAGGGTCGACATCCAATTTTATTTATGAAAAGTCTCCGGGAACAGTAGTCAAAATCTTATTTGTCACAATTATATGTCACGCCTTAAATTCATTTTACTTGGAGCATTAATTAAAAAACATTCATTATTAATTAAATATAATATACAAAAATTTTATTACATGCACATGGTCTTTGCAATTCCTAATCCAAATTTGATTGCAGGAGCACAACTTACAGCAAATTTTAAGTAGTCTAATTTGGTTTTTTCGGATTTTTTGATTTGCTCTTTTAATAAATCTATTTCTGAATCTTTTTCCCTTTTAATCAATACTAAAGTTAATTCATGTTCATGTTGCATTCGTTCTAATAAATTAAAATTTACATAATTTTGTTTTCTAATATTTTCTTCCAAATCTTTAAGTTTATTTGAAAGTTTTTCTTCCGTTCGTTTACGTTCATTTTCTAATTTATTAACCTTAAATTGCATCTCTTTTTCCCGAGAAGTATGTTCTAAACATTGTTGCTCAGCATCTTGAAATTTTTTAAATTGGTTTACCGATTCATCATCGAGAACTTGAAATAAATGTAATGTCGCGATCGCCTTTTGATATTCGCGAGCCTTAAACCCTGCCAAGATCATTTCTGTTTCTGGACAATTTATTATTAAAGTATCCACGATCTCTCTCTCAAACTTTGTGATCGCATTATTAAATTCCTCTCGGGTCTATCAAGGTTAATTTAAAAACAAGTTAGGTTCAATGTATAAGGAAGGAAAAAAATATTCAACGAGAACAAATGATGTTTACCTTAAAGACATTTTTTAAATCAATGAGACCAACTTTTACGTGACGGTCCCATAAGTCTTTGACCAATTTCATGTTATGTTCATATAAAGCGTTAGAATTTGATTTATAAAATTCTTCATATTTTTCATTAATCGATTCATTTAGATCGTCCTCGTATTTCTTTATTTGAGATCCACTTCCGATGACCTTGTTAAAGAATTCCTTTTCGATTTGATTATAGATTTCAACATGAATTTCATTAAAATATTCCCAATAAAGTGCCTTCACTTGTTGTTTTCTATCTCCGTCACATGGTAGTTGTAATCTTGAATTCATACTTGTAACATACAATTGAGTACAATGTTTAATGGATTGCCGTGCAACGTATCCAATAACGGATTCGTATTCGCTTGGAATGGCTAGTTGAAAATTGGAATCTGATGTATCATTTAATTTTTCGACACATTCTTGAAGGAATTTCGTAAATGATAAACCCGTCATTAAGGATGATCCAATGTACTTTGGCGTTGAAGTAGATAAAATACTCTTGACCGCCCTAGATACTTCAGTGACGAACTCGGGTTCTAATTCTTCTGTTGACAATTTATCCAAATTTTGTAGTCGATTACGATCCGACAACGGAATCTGCAAAAACACGAAAAATAAGTTAAAGATAATTATATGTGTAAAATGGTTTTAAGATCCACATGTAATGCGTGTATGTAGTACACTACCGGAAGACCAAACACATCAAAATCCGAGAAATATTTTCTTATACTTCCCGTAGCTAAATTTAAAGATGACATTAATTCTCATTAAAAAAAAATGATATATGTATATAAATAAAAGGTAAATCCTCTCAAATCCAATTGATGTACATACCTTCTTTATTAACAAGATTTAATTTTTCCAAGAAATATCCTCTAAAATCATCAGGATTTTTTAACATGTAATCCCTCAGCAATACAACCATTTTGGGTAAGAATTTATAATCCGAAGGTGGTGTAATGAATTTTGCTAAGTCGGTCATCAAAAACAATTTTCCTATGTCATCTCTACCGATGACACCATTTAAATTATAAATAAACGTTGAAGAGATTGCTATACATAAAACGAATAATCTCGATGCCCATTGTTGATTTTGCTTTGGATCATCAATCCCTTCACAATCTAGTACAATCATCCGTTTTCCTTGATGGATAAATGGTTTATTCCACATATGTATTCCTTGTGTACAACCCTCTGCTGTTGAACCTAATATGAATCCGTCATGTCTACCGTGTAATACATTTGCGAACCATGATTTCCCTCTACGATATGATCCAACTAACAATAGATTAAAAGATGTCAAATTTTTTAGCTTGATGGACAAAGATTATTTTACTAAAATGAATTGTTTTACCAATAGCGATTATTGAAACAGGTTCATCGATTTCTCTAATGATATTTAAAGCTTCTTCGTTTATTTTAATTTCTCCATACTCATCATGATTTTCTTCATTATCGACATAATTTAAAAGCTGAATTGGTCTGCCATCATGAAACGGTATCCCTTTTCCAAATTCATTTTCCAAAAATGCAAAATCGTATTCATCGTCCATATCCATATGAATTATTTTTTTTTAATAAAAAAAAAATTTTACGTCAAACCCGTGTTGTGGAAAATTTTATTTTTCAAAAAAAAAAAGAAAGAAAAAAAGAAAGAAAACAACTTTATTCCAAAATTACTGTATACTCTTTTTTTTAAATGCAAATCAATAACCTAAACTATGTAAAGTTATCCAATCAATCATCAATGAACTTTCAAAAATGGGTGGGTTAACATAAGCAGAGACAAACCGGTTTGTGCATGTTCCATATTTGGCAGGAACTTCGAAATCGAACCGTTTTTTGAAGTTTCTATTAGGAATTGAATAATTCCGATAGAAAAAAGGTTTCGGCCGAAAGCTAAAAACAAGGAACTCGTCGTACAAGCGTCCGAACCAATGGATCCGGTAATCGGATCGGGTTCTTTTCTTTGTGCGGCCGTATTTGATTGTGTTTGGTGAGTAAACTTTATTCACATTTTTTTTTTTTATTAGCCCTCAAATTCTTTTTTATTTTCATGTGTGACCTTAGTAATTCATTAACCTTCATATTTAACTAAGAAAATTTCAAAAATAATAAAAAAAAAAAAAATAGGTAATTTTTTTTTTCAAAAGAAAATTTTACGATAGAGAGAATTCATTTGAAAAAAAAAAAAAAACTAAAAACCTAAAAAATCTTTATAAACTAGCTCTAAATAAAATCTTAACCTTTCATTTTCTTAAAATTTATTCAATTGAGCGACTTTTTCAATGTATATTTTCTGCGCATGCAGGGGTGCATATAAAGTATTCCTTCATAAAAAGTAACAGATCATTGCCAAAAATAATGAAAAACGCCCGCCGAAAATGAATGAGGAAACTTCTTTTCTATCTAGAAACAGAAGGATATTCTATATTTGGAATTTATTTATGATAAGGGTAATAAAGTATATATATCATAGGTAGAGCTTTGGATGCTCAAATGAACTTTATCATGTATCAATTAATCGAAGTTAATCGTAAAATTGACTTATCAAATGGCATATCAAGTCAGCAAATGGAACCCTCGGGTAATATAAAGCTTAAATATAAATTTGAGAAATGCAGTGAATGTAAAAAAAGAAGAAAACCATCTGAGGAAAATCATAAGCTTTGCCGTACTTGTTATAAAACAAATACAATAACCATTAATCCAAGTGGAAACAAAATTATTGACGATTTTATCAAATACACACATATTCATTTGTTTAATGATAATAATAGAATGGAGTTTGTTCCATATGATCAATTCAAAAATATAGAGTTTATTGGTGAGGGAGGATTCAGTAAAGTTTATAAAGCTACTTGGATTGATGGTCCAATTATTTGGTGGAATGACGAAAAAAAAAAATATAAACGGAGACCAAATATACAAGTTGCTCTTAAGAAACTTAACAATTCTAAAGACTTTATTTCTAAGGAGTTAAACGAGGTATATATAAATTTTCCTTTTTTTATTTATTATGATACATACTAAATTAATAACTTATAAATTAAGAACATACAGTAATGTTATTTCGTATTATGGAATTACGCAAGATCCTATTACTAAAGAATTTGTGATAATTATGGAATATTGTGAAACAGGAGATCTATCCCATTATATAGCTAAAGTTTTTTTTAATGTTAGTTGGTCTAAAAAGTTACTTCATTTAAGAGATATTGCATTAGGCCTATCAAAAATTCATGAAAAGAGCATTATCCACCGTGATTTTCATAGTGGAAATATTTTGATAAACAAAAACAAATATGATGACAAATATGACGACATTAAAATAGGTGATTTAGGATTAAGTAAATCTGCTACTGAAGCTGACGATAACGATACTTATGGAATAATTCCTTATATGGCCCCAGAGGCACTTCAAGGCCAAAAATATACCACAGCATCAGATATTTATAGTTTTGGTATGATTATGTGGGAGTGTATGACAGGAAGAAGACCTTTTTGGGATCGTGCTCATGATACTGAGCTGATCATTGATATTTGTGATGGCTTACGTCCTCCAACAGGTGATATTGTAGCACCTGAAGGTTATATTGAGCTAATGAAAGAATGTTGGGACTCTGATCCAAATAAAAGGCCAGCAACTGGGAATATTTATAATAGTATTTATGTAATTAGAAAGCTTGAAGATAGAAATCCAACAGATATTGTATTATCATCAGAAATTGGACCGATAACAACAAACAATCCAGACGCTATTTATAAGAGTAGATCTTTAAATAGCATGATAAACTCCGCAGAATCCACAAGAAGTTTACGTTTACGAAGTCAATCCATTTCTTCGGAATTTGGTAATTAGTTTGTTTTATTAATTTGAAAATAGTTTTTTTTTTAATAATGTTACTAATTGAACATATTATTCAGGATCGTTTAATTATTATTATCAGAAAAGAAGTACACTTAATGGTAATTATTTATACTTTGAATTATATTTAAAACTGATATCGGTAACTAATCTCTCCTTACAATCTTTTTTAAAAAAGAGGGAAAAAGAAAGTTTGATAGAGAAGGTGATCAGATTGAAAATAATGGTATGATATTATTGAATTATGCTAATTCAAAAAAAAAAGGTTTAATATATATTAATACGTTATGATTATAGATAAACGTAATAAAGAAACTATATCGGATTATGAAACAATAGAATTGGAATTTGATATTTAAAATTGTTAATAATAATATTATTGTTCCAACACCCGTAAGCGATGTCTACATATTTGTTTCTGATTGAGTTTCAACGGGTTCTACATATTCGGTTTATAATTTAACTAAGGTTAAACCTCGGGTTTGTTAGTTACACTTGATGAGTTATAGTTACAGGATCGTTTTCTTTATTTCACTTTAAATTATTAACCTTAGTAAAGTTAAATAAATTACAAATAAATTTTGTATTATTTTATCAATTGATTACTTGTAAAATTTATAAAAATTTGCAATTGTCAAATGACTACTAATTTATTATCATATGTACTCCATAAATTTTCATATTTAAAAATATATCAATATAAATTAATGTGAGAGTACACGAGGAAATGTAGTTCAATAATGAGTTCCATACAGAGGGCGATCAAATTATCCGGTCACTTTTCAAACTGAAAAAAAATTAAATATAAATAAATTTTAAATAAATATTGGCTTTATTATTGAAATATTACAAAAAAAATAAAACATTAATAATTTATTCTATTTCAATTTGCGGTAATAATCGCTTTAATTCTCTGGACATACTGTTATAATTCTGGTGGTTCTTTCCATACAACTTCAACATACTTTTAAGTTCTTAAATATTAAATGGTGGTGAAGTATGACGACATATTGTTAGATCTGTGAATGGTCTATCGACAGATATCTGGATTTTACGGATGTGAATATATCCGGATATCTGTAATGGCTTAACTACCTGTACCCATTTCTTTTTTTCACGGATTGGAAACTTGGATAGACAGGATCTAACACTATTTGGACATAATTTTAAATATCATATCAGCAACAGCAAGATTTTTAACCTAGCACTATGTTATTTTATTAAATGACATCGTGTAAATAACAAAAGTTTAGAACGTTATAGAAGAAATGGTTAAAAATTTAACCAAAATATTTGGTTTAGACTGAACCTTGTTTTGATTTTTAATTTAATTTAATTTATTTTTAATCTTTGGGTTATTAATAATTTATTCAAATGAATATAAAAAAAAAAAGGTATTCATTAATATTAACAATCTTTTCATATAAGGATTCAATATATTATTATTTTTTTTTCTGAAAAAAGAAAATAAATGCAGCAGCTTTTGGAAAATTTTCATAAACTTTTTCGATAGTTTCGTTCAAGTACCTTGAGTTCGATTATTTATTTATAAAAATTAATTGAGATCAAGATTTTCTTTACCTAATTTGATAAATTACGGTGTCCGTAAAAATTTACATTATTGTACGGAATGAAATCAAAGGGAATAAATTCCAATTGATTATTTATTCTCATGAATGTATTGCATCATCATCACAAAAATAAATCGTTCTTGATTGGGTTATTATTACATTTTGATGCTTTGCGCAGTGACGTTGAGTACATCTAAATTTATTTAAAAAAGGAACTATAAAGATGGAAAGCCACCATAGACAAAGGGTTACGCTTAATTGTATGATCGATAATCAAAAAATCACTTATTTGAACACTACCAAAATCATGGTTAAATTTGACTCTCAAATATTCATTGAAATTTGCTCGTGGAAATGAATTTATGAAAATTTCTAGAAAAAGGAATTAAAGATCTAATAAGAAAGTAATTAAGCAATCGCTAAAAGTCTCGTGGAAAGGCAATAATAAAGTTTATATTTGTTACGCTTAAGAATTAAACATCAAGGAGAGAAATATTTGTTGCATTTGAAATGCACTCGTCCATAGGGAGTGACACGAGAAGAGAATATTGTCGGGATTGAAAAGATTCAACATAAAAAAAATTAAAATGAGAGCGAGCTTAAAGTTTAAGGTTTGAATCCGCAGGTACGGCACGAGCAAGTTTCGAAAGAAGTAAGATAGTATCTCTCGCTGAATGCGGTACCATTTAAAAAAACCTAATTTTTTTTGCTTGAAATTACTTTATAAGGTACGAGCGTTCAAAACTTGTTCATTTCGTTGTTTCTTTATAATGGGAAAAGAAATGATGAGAATATTAGTATACATGATAAGGTGCTAAATTGCTAAATTTCGAATTGCAAAAGACGTTTATAGATCGATCTGTTCAATTAATGTCCTTGTCGAAACTTGTGAATATTTTTTTAATGCCTATGAGGTTATAAAATGATCCTGAAACATCCTTTAAAGAGTTTTTGGTTCAAGACAATTGAACGTATAAGTTCAAGTTGTTTAATTGAACGAAGTTGACAGATGGAGTGGTATCGCACTGCCATTAGTAGAAGCATCAATAAGCGTTGATATTGGTCTGTGTTTGGGATCAGCTGGTTTTCTATAATTTTATGTCTATAAAGAATTTAGCTGGGCTATAATTGATTTCGACATTAAACAAAACTAATCGTTACTATCAAACGAACTGATAAGTCGTTATCTTGCCAATCGAGATTAAATTTAGAATTGTTGATAAGAAAAGATATCAAATTTCTTTTTATCAATTATAGTATTACGAATATAACGACACCATCTGTTAAACTTATTAACTTTTCTTAGACGCGAAATATTAACACAATGGACTGCACGACCAAAGACAAAGTTTCCCAGGACATTGCGTTCGAATTGAGCTCTTCATCAACATCATATTTTTTAATGATTATCGTCTTCATAAACCAATCAAAATTATTGATATTATTTTTTTTTTATTGCAGGTTTAAAAAAAGCTAACTTTTTAATGGAATTTTTTTTTTTAATCAAAAAAAAAGATCAAACGAATTGTCTTGATATGGAATTGACGTTGCTTGTTTAAAATGTATTCGAACTTTTGTATTTATGAATTGGGATCTTGTACCTGATTAGAAAATAAAATACCCAACTTGTAAAGACAAAAATATAGAATCATTGAAAAGTTTGATAATTCTGATCACAGAATCTTGATATTAACGAAGCCACTTCATCGTTCTTACAAAAAAAAAAATATAACAATGTGAAAATTTGCATTTATTATTTTTGTTTTCTTTTAAAGAATATTTATTTACTTCAACTAAAAATTTTATTGATTATCAAAAATTGCCTTGTTACTCAACTTCGCATCAACACAGAAAAAATATCTTTTCCTTTTTCCTGTTTCCTTTTTTCTTTCTAATTTTTTTTTTTTTTTTGAAAAATTATATATATTGACAATTATCAAGATAATTATTCTAATTCAACAACTCATATAACGGATATTATTAAATAATTAAAATAAATTTTTATCCAAGGCCTTTTAAAGAACCTTTTTTGTTATAAACAAGAAAAAAAAAATTTATTATTACCAAAAACATTCTATCCACATATGGGGTAAGTGCTGGGAAAATGGACCAAATTGATTTTTTTTTTAAAAAAAAGTTTCTAAGTAAAATAGATGTAGATTTGGTCATCTGATTCAGATCATTTGTTATTTCAAAAAAAAATTTTTTGTCGATTTGGTCCCTTTTCCCAGCACTCACCCCATATCGCATCACAGAAAAAAAAATTCCTTTTTCCTTTATTTTGAAGGAATTTTAATTCAAAACTCCTGTATAAATTGTACTGGCGATTGTTAAAAATGATTTAATCGATTCCTTTCAAATTTTTGCAGTAGGTAATAGGTTCCTATTAACAAGTTCACAGCATGTATGTACTCTTATTGTCCGAAGCATAGCGGAGGACATTTTACTTCTAGGTCATTTAAATGCAAGGTCGCTCTGTCCGTCCAAATTCGGCAAGTCTGATAGACCAATGACATTTTGTTTACGTTATCACGTGTTATGTCTTTTGTGTTACAAAATAATTAATCATGTGAAATATGATATTATACCATGTTGAACGGATCCCGTTCCCTAGTATTAGTAAATATGATATCAATTTAATATTGTTAAGTAGTAGATCATCAAATGCAATTAGTCAGTAGATGCACGCCCTTTTACCAAATTGGTTTGTTTTTGAAAGCAGATAAGAATTAAAACAAATTTGTATTTATCTGCATTGGAGAGAACTTTCCGCCCAATTTTGATTAAAATCACCTTATTGCACCAAGTGTCTCATGTCTTTATCATTATTTTTATACGTGATTATATTTTGACCGGGCGGGAAACTCTAATTTTATTAAAATTTTTGTATTAATTGTGCTTTTACTTGTATTTATGCTAATACTTGCTAAATTGAATAATCATTTTAATTTAATTTTACAATTTAATTTCTAACTAGCATTTTTATTCCATTACTATACGAAAACATTTAAATGTAATGTTGATATTAGCATTACTACAATTTTTCACTGAAGTTTTGGGAATTTTGATTTTTTATATTCCAATTTTTATTTCTCAGGTTTCCTAGTTCACTTAAAAAGATCTCAGATGCCTTCGAAAATCCTATAAAATGTATTAGTTTCGCTAAAATTCATGTTCGAATCATATGATTTACCATGTAACCTGACAAACGACCCATATTGTAACTTTAAATAAAAAAAAATTTGATTTTAACTCTGGCCGAAATTAAAATTTCGGCCAGAATTAAAGATTTTGTGATTATGTTAGCTCTGCCCGAATTTATTAGTGCCGGCAAGAGTTAAATTAACCGGTTATTAACCGGTTTAGGATTTTTTTTTTAGACTTCCATTGTAGAAGACGTGAACGATAATTAAATTCCGCAAAGAAAATAGTTCTAAATAGCACTTCCAGCACATAAAGGATTTATTGTGGTAACTTGTTGAGATACTAGTAGTGATTTATAATTTTTGTGAATCAGCCGTTCACGATGTTTCTGAATGCATTACTTTTGATGCGCTGGTATCTTGACTCTCGATTCTCAATTTAAGGATTAATTCACGACAAAAAATAATCTATATGATAAAGGTGACGTAAGTCAATAACAAGAATCTCTTACACCAAATCATTTCGTCATAAATTTTCGTATGCCAACAAATAATTGGCTTTATTTAGTCCTGAAATTTCCATAATGCAAGTAAATATATGGACGGTTAATCTTTATTTATGTTTATCACAATTAAAGGTGGATGATTGTCTACAGAACTATATATGTAAATCACATTCATATATTCATAATTCGACATACTGTATATACAGTGGCGCTCAAAAGTATTGCATCACCCGAATACAAAATTTTAATTAGCATTATCTTATGATTAA